CGGATCTCATCCACCCCCGGCGCCTTGCCACCAAGGAGCTTTTTAACTACCTTAGCGGCCTCTGCCAGGGATATGGGTGCGCCCCCCCCCCCCCCCCCCGAGGTCTTCAGGCGCTGCCTCCTCTGCAGAGCACATGTTGGTCGGGTTTAGGAGTTCCTCAAAGTGCTCTTTCCACCGGCCGACGATGTCCCCTGTCCGGGTCAGCAGTTTCCCAACCGGTTCCCCTGCCATCTGATCCAACTCACCACCAGGTGGTGATCAGTTGACAGCTCTGCTCCTCTCTTCACCCGAGTGTCCAAGACATACGGCCGCAAATCAGATGATACGATTACAAAGTCGATCATTGATCTCCGGCCTAAGGTGTTCTGGTACCAGGTACACTTATGAGCCACCTTAGGTTCGAACATGGTGTTCGTTATCGCCAAACCGTGGCTAGCACAGAAGTCCAATAACGAGACACCACTCGGGTTCAGATCGGGCAAGCTGTTCCTCCCAATCACCCCCCGCCAGGTTTCTCCGTCATTGCCCACGTGAGCGTTGAAGTCCCCCAGGAGAACTATGGAGTCGGTAGGCGGCGCCCTTTCCAGGACCCCTCCCACCGACTCCAAGAAGGCCAGATACTCCGAACTGGTGTTTGGTGCATAAGCACAAACCACAGTCAGAGCCTTGCTCCCTGCAACCCGTAGGCGCATGGAGGCGACCCTCTCGTTCTCCGGGGAGAACTCCAACACAGCGGCGCTCAGCCGGGGGCTCGTGAGTATCCCCACTCCCGCCCGGCGCCTCTCACCCTGGGCAACTCCGGAAAAGGACAAAGTCCAACCCCTCTCCAGGAGCTTGGTTCCAGAGCCAGAGCTGTGTGTGGAGGTGAGTCCAACTATATCTAGCTGGTATCGCTCCACCTCCTGCACCAGCTCTGGCTCTTTCCCCGCTAGTGAGGTGACGTTCCACGTCCCTAGAGCTAGTCTATGCTGCCGGCGATCGGCTCCCCCAGGCCTCCGGCCTGACCCGCCGCCCGGTCTGCATTGCACCCGACCCCGATGCTTGTCCCTGCGGGTGGTGGGTCCACAGGGTGGCTGCTCCATGTTGTTTCTTCGGGCTGAGCCTGACCGGGCCCCATGGGCGAAGGCCCGGCCACCGACGAGCTCCCCTCCTGGGTCTGGCTCCGGGAGGGTGCCCCGGTTTCCCTGGTCCGGGCGAGGTGGCTGAAGACCATGGGCTGCTTATCATTAGGGTCATTGTGAACCGCTCTTAGTCTGGGTTCTCCCCTGAGACCTGTTTGCCTTGGGAGGCTAATGCCCCGGACAACATAGCTGCCAGGATCACTGAGCCACTCAAACTCCTCCACCATGTTACGGTGGTGATTCGCGGAGAAGCCATGTAGTTTCCAATCTATGTAATGTGCTGATGAGTTTGTGTGAGATCTACCTTGCGTCTCCTTCTCCACCCAGCTATTGATGTTGACCCTGGCGTCCTCTGCCTTGGTTTTGAAGTCCACAGACTCCAGCTCAGCGTTGTAGTGCTTTCTGGTTTCTGATAAGAAATCCTGGAAGCAAAAACAGCACATTTGAACACTCACACCACAATTAGATACTCACATTAACCAATCCACAAGGAAGAAATATTTCAAGGAATACTAGGTCATTTGCATGAGTTTCATTTGTATATTCACAGTTTTCAGATCTCTGAACAAAGAATGGATTTGTTAATTTCTGATTTTGAAACAAAGCCAACATGAGTGGAGTGCTGGAAGACCTTGTTGAGTATGATTTTCTGAGAGCTGATTATGTAACTGACCCATTGCTAAGATCCGCCCTAGAGCACCGACTGGCCAACCATAGCAGCAGCAAGCCCCGACCAGTGTCCGACAACTATCCGGCTCTGCTCCATATCGATTTAATGCAAACGTTTCAGATTTTCATGGTGGTTTTGTGGATTTCAAGCCAGTCATGGTGAAACGTTGTAGAGATACTCGTTACCCGGAGAGTTGAGCTGGAGACTGAACACATGCTTGGCTTTACAGAAACAGTGTAGTTCCTTATTTTTGATTGTCTTCTGTCTCGATTGCCAGGTGATGTGGTGGTTCAGTTTAACACTGTGGTCTATAGGCTTTAGCTTCTATCTATATCTTTTCAACCCGTTTTCGCTGCTGAATCAGTTTGACATCCTGGATATTTCCTTCAAACACACATTGTAGACCCTTCTGTCTGAGATAGCTTTTTTTTCTCCAAAATAATTGTTAATATTTACTCAGTGAGTGCAGTTAGTGACAGTGTGGGCTCCACGTTAGCTCTGACAGCTTGACTGAGTTGCAGTGGGGGTGGGGCTTAGCAAAGGTTCCATTATCTCATACAGTTAGCTGAATCCTTGCTTCTCGAGGTTCAACACATCCAATTGCTAACTRKAWRWKASRRTGSACMYTTMGCTAAGSSYYGC